CAGAATAACTGAGACAGAAGAACAGATAAGTGACCTGGAAGATAAAATATTGGAAATAACTACTGCAGAACGGAATAAAAAAAAAAAAAAAAAAAAAAAAAAAAGCAGGGGAAGCTGTGTAAGCTTTTACTTGAACAGACCTGGACAACCCAGCCCTGTCACTTGCTGAGTGTGTGGCCTCTGAGCCTCCGTTTATCTCCTCGGGAAGGCTGGAATGACAATGAGACCTACGTTGCCGGGGTCAGTGCCGAGCAGTGTCTAGATGTTGTTAACGTTCTTTATGGAGCCTGAACAATTCATTGAAAAAGAAAAAAGTCAGTTATTTCCTCTGTATAACAATAAAACAGACGTTTTCTCTGAATTCGTCCATCAGTTCTTTGGAGTGTATATAGAAACAGCTTAATGCAAACGTTTAAAGGACATCTCATGATGGGTTTTCATCAGTCTGCACAGCCCACAATCGCTTGAACATGGGTTTGTGCTTTGCTGTGTTTACGATGGTCCATGCACGTGGATGGCAGGTCACTTATAAAAGGTGGTGAAGGTCTCATTAGCCAATAGCTGCTCTGAGATCCCTGACGTGCCAGCCTGTGTTGGGATATCGCTATTGTATTGAACTGCTTGCCAGAAAATGGTCTTGGAATCTCATAAGAGACGTCTGTTCCTGATGGAATCTGCAGTTTTAATAATGACTTAAGTCAATACAATTTTGACAAGGTAAAAATTGCTACTTATCCAAGAAGCATATACATCCATATCGCTATTTAGTGCCTGCTCTTCGCAGGCATCTGGCCGGGGCTGGGTTGTGCTGAGGGGTAAAACAGACGTGGTCTCACCTCGGGAAACGTACCGTCCAGAGCAGGGATCGGCAAACTTTCTTTGTAAAGGGCCAGATCGTAAATAGTTTAGACCTTGCAGGTAATACGAAAGCAGCCCTAGACAATATGTAAACGAATAAGTGTGGCTATTTCCTAGAAAGGCTGATTTATGAAAGTAGATGATAGGATAGTTTCCTGATGCCTGGTCTAGAGGGAGAGAAAATCATCGACCAGATAATCACAGCTGTTTGCTGCACACCAGAAACTAACACAACATTGTAAATCAACTATACTTCAATGTTTTAAAAAAAACATGCAAAAAGATCACAGCTGTATGTGTGACTGTGTGCGTAAATTCAAGCTGTGATAAGGGCCATGAAGGAGCGGTCTCAGGGATGCCACAAGACCACTTGGGAGTGGGGAAAGGCTTCCCTGAGACCCAAAGGTCAAGTAAGAGTTGAGTAGGGGAAGAAAAGGAGGAAGGACTGCCCAGGTAAAGGGAACAGCCTATGCAAAGGCCCTGAGGTAGAAGCAAACATGGCTTTTTTTTTTTTAGCAGAACTAAAAGGAAGGCCAGTGGTTCCAGAGCCCTGGGGCAGAAGTCAGCAGTAGTTAGACACACAGGGCCTGTCTTGAGGGTTGTCCTAAGAGTAACGGGAACGTGGCTAAATTCTAATTTTGCAAAGATCGCTCGAGCTACGAAAGAACAGATTGCTCAGGGGAGGCCGGTGTGGATGGAGGGAGCCAGTTGGCAGATTGCTGGGATGTCAGGATGAGGATGATGGTGGCTGGACCAGGAAGGTTCCACTTCCTGTGGAGTGGAGCGGAGACAAAGGGATGACTCCAAGGGATATGTAAAAGGCAAAACCGAGACAGGGAGAGCGTGGCCAGAGGGGTAGAAGGAAAACAGGAGAATGGGCTGTCCCAGAAACCCCAGCTGCTCCCCAGGTCCGTGTGTAGCCCCTCCCGCAAGGGTCTCTCACACCCCTGCCAGTACATTCTGGGTGCTCTACCATATTTTGCTTCAATGCCCAGCTCTGTGAGACACAGGATATTTTCTTCATCTATGGATGAGGAAATTGAAGCTCAGAGAGGTCTTGTGACTTGCCTGCTGTCACACAGCTCGTAAATGATAGAGCTGAGAGACTTGAAGTCCTGGCCTCCTGAATCCAGGCCTAAAGCTGTGCCCACTGCATCATTGTTGACTCTGGGACCAGTTGGGGACCGAGATTTAGGAGGCCTCTGATCACCTGGGTCAGGATCTGAGAAGCTACTCCATTTGGGAGAGCGCTTTGCTTCACTCACATCTCTCTAGCATGGCCCTGCCCTCCTCTAATACCAGTGATGCTGGTATTTCCAGCATCACTTCTTCTCCTGAGACAAGGGATTTGTTCCTTCCCCGTCTGTACCCCCAGTTGTGCACTGCTCTTTACAGTCTAGAGAGCCCTTTCCCATGCATGTGTCTATCTAGTCACATGATAGGCCCTAGGCCCATACGGTGCGTTCTCAGTATACCCATTCTGCAGCTGGGAACACTGAGGCCAACAGGGCCTGTGGCTTAGCTGTCACTTGAATTCACTTATCAGGAGTCAAACCCAGGTCAGCCCCAAGAGCCATGACTAACCACATTTCCCAGGCCGCCTGCCCTCTTGAGAAGTATGAGCCTCACGGCTCTCAGGGTCCCCGTCATCCCCCTGCTTGGCCCATCTTTTGGGAAGGCAGGGCACCAGTCTGACGGAGAAGACTTCAGCTCCTAGTTTCGTTGGTTGGGATAAAGGGTCCGCAGGGGGCAGGCTTGACCATGAGAGGGGTGGAGACCACAGAGAACACCGCAGTGACCCCAGATTCCAGAAGCGGCTCCAGCACTGGCCCCCATCTTCTCCACATTGCCCACCTCCCAGAGCTGTGGCCTCATCTGTAAAGAGGGATTATATGCCGATCCCACAGGCTGCCCGGGAGGATTAAATGAAATTGCCCAGGCGTGGAAGTGAGGGGCCCAGCTAATACCTGGCGCACAGTGGGTGCCGAGTCAATATTACTTTCTGGCCTTCCTTCTCTACTTCTGTCTGTCTTCTTCCCAACATGGTTCCCGACCTCTCTAAGGCCCTTTCTGCCTTAGTGAGGCTGTTTCCCACCCTCTCTTCCCCTGAGGCTCTGTGGGTGGGTGCATGACCTGCCTAACCCCACCTCTGGGTACAGCTGGGAGAGTCCCCGTGGTGTCAGTTGTGTGTGTGCAGTGGCCACACCGGCCACTACGGGGCCCACCTGGGCCTCTCCCAGCCAGGCTTCTGCAGTTCTAGAACACGCTCTGTTTCCAGAGCTCCTGCAGCCTCTCCGCCCTCCCGTCTTCCTGTCTCCGTCTGGGTTCCCACTCTGCCTCACTGGCTAGTGCAGTTTATACCCTCCCAGTCCTTCCCTCTCCTTTCTCTCTGAGGGTCTCTGATGCTGTCTGTCTCTGTCTGTCCTTCCCTTTCCTGCTGCCTCTGACTTTCTCCCTGCGTTGTGATGTGTGTGTGCGTGTATATGTGGCGGTGAACATGTCTGTGTGTGTGTGTGTGTGTGTGTGTGTGTGCGGGTGTGTGTGTGCGTGCGCGAGTGTGTCTCCCCTTCTGCCTCCCCCACCCCTTCTCCCACTCTATCTCCCTGTCTGTCTCTTGTCAGGAGGCCAAGCTAGGGCCAGAGGGCCGGTAGGAAGAGCTCATGCAGCGAGAAGCAGAGCGGTGCTTTGTCAGGAGAGATGGCCGTGCGCTGGGCTGTGCTGTGCGCACCAGCATTGGTGGGCTCTGGAGCAGGTGCTCAGGCCTGGGGGCAGTGCTGTGTGGTGTGTGTGTGGGGGGGGGGTAACACCTTTGCACTTGTGACCGTGTCACACTTCTGCGGGGAGAGAGAGAGAGATGGAGCGTGAGCGCAGAGCAGACACTGCAGCAAACAGCCAAGTCAGGCGTCTCCACGTGGGCCCCTCTGATACCCAGCCCCCAGCTCTTTGTTCTGGTGCAGCCTTTAGCCTGTGTGCTCGCACACGGGAGCACGCGCACACGAGCACGCACGACAGCATCCTCCTCGTTGAGAAGGTCCTTGGGGGCCAGCAGCTCCCTCCTCTGCCTCAGTCCAGAAGGTCACCTGCCTTGTGCCTCCCCTTGTCCCCCCTTCCAGGGCACGGC